TAATGCGAATGCGAAGCATAGTACGAATCATGATAACACGGCGAATAGTAATCATAGTCATGGTAATGACAATACTAATACCCAGCGATTACTTATAATCGTAGTCATAAGAAGACAAATGCGAAGTGGAAACAGACGACGACGGAAGCGGGTATTACTAATACTAGTGTTAAAGAACTGTAAATCGTAATGATACATGTGATCATTGCGAAGGCCACGAATAGTTATATTTCGAGTAAGAACAACATCCGTCATACTAATATTACGAGTATGGCAAACATCATATTGCGAATACTCATGAACAAGGAACTTTGGAATAATACCGCGAAGACGAATCCACAGAGTAGTAATGCAGCGAATAGCACTACTACATACGACAACACATGTTTTTTTGTTAAACTCAAAAGTACACATGGTGGTATTAGTACGCATACTAACAATGATGTTGCCAGTACGACGCCACATATGGGTCTAATGGGAATACTCCCAAGATTGATCATACAACGCTTACTATCAATAGCGCGACGTCTGATAATACGAGCATTAGAAATGATACTTGCAATATTGGTAATACGAATACCCATAGCATTTGTAAACCACATCTACGAATACCAATGATCATACATGTATACGTCGCACACGAATAGTATGATTAAACATATTAGCACACCCGAATCTTGATTCCCAGAGTAAACAACAGACATAATACGACTAACACGTCGAATAACAATACGATACTATTAAGACGCATACGCAGAAGCATACAATGAACCCACACAGTATTACGAACATTACTATCCACAACCTTAGCGATGCTTATACCAATAATATTGGTATTTCGACTACTGCTATGAGTCGTAGTAATATGAGTGACAGCAGTACCACGACTAGTAATAGTTGTAATACTACGAATACGATTCATCGCCATAACACTATTATTCGTAACAGTAATCGTAACACATCATAACACTAACTGCTACTTATCGTAGTAATCATAATACTCGCACAACTCAGCATATTCAAGAGCGGGAGGAGGACGAGGAGGTGGAAGAGGAGGATGAGGATGACGTGGAGGAGATGGAGGAGCTGGAGGAGTTCAAGGAGTTGGAGTTGGAGTTGGATGAGGGACAGGAGGAGTCGGAGTCGGAGTCGGAGTCGGAGGAGGAGTCGGAGTCGGAGGAGGAGAAAGGGGAAGGGGGAGGAGGAGGAGGAGGAGGAGGAGGCCGAGGAGGAGGAGGAGGACTAGAGGAGGATTAGGAGGAGGAGGATGAGGAAGAGGAGGAGGCTGCGGAGGAGGAGGAAGAGGAGAAGGAGGAGGAGGAGGAGACGAAGGAGGAGGATAATGATGAGGAGGATGAAGATGCGGAGGAGGAGGAAGAGGAGGAAGCGGATGAGGCGTAGCAATATTATTGATAATCTCAATACGAACACCAGAATAACCAGACTACTATTTTGAATAATGGTACCAATAATCACACGTTGCACACGAATAGTAATACACTTACCAACAATGCTACCCATAATCAGCATGCTCAGAATGCGAACGCTAGCAATCCGAGTGATACTACTAACCCTAAGAATATTATTACTACCAATGGTAGGACGTATGCTCATACTAATACCATGAACACGTGTAGTAACACTGCTACGGCGGTTAACGCGCATAACAATAATACGGCGACGGCTACCACTAAACTGCATCACACACCTACTAACACTAACACGAGTATTCAGACTACTTACATTACTATTAATAATACTACTGGTGATACTTCTACTAACGTAGACATTACTACTACTGATCTGAGTAATCGTAATAATATTAATGATCGTAACCATACAGAATGCGACTACTCATGCTAATAACAGTCGTAGTAGCCACACTACTAACAATCGTAACCGTACTCGTTAAATGCGACTAGTTCTACTACTACGAATACGGATGCACATACTCTTACTACTACTACTACTACTACTACTACTACTACTACTACTACTACTACTACTACTACTACTACTACTACTACTACTACTACTACTACTACTACTACTACTACTACTACTACTACTACTACTACTACTACTACTACTACTACTACTACTACTACTACTACTACTACTACTAGTACTACTGATAGCAATACCACTAATACTGATAATGCTGAAGATGCTACTGGGCCGAGTAATACTACACATCTTAATGATACTATTCATACGACATGTAGTTAGACCAAACATGCGAATACGAAGGCGAATGCTAACACACATAAGAAACTAGTACTACTAATAATTTGGCGAGGAGGATGAGGAGGAGGAGGAGGAGGAGGGGGGCTGGGCGGAGAAGGAGGAGGAGGAGGAGGAGGACGAGGAGGAGGATGAGGAGGAGGGCGGAAGAGGGCGGAAGAGGGCGGAGGAGGGGCGGAGGAGGAGGAGGAGGAGGAGGAAGAGGAGGAGGAGGTGGAGGAGGAGGAGGAGGGAGGCGGAGGACGTGGAAGGCGGCGAGGAGGAGGAGGAGGCGGGGGGGGGGGGGGGGGAGGAGGGGGTGTAGGAGGAGGAGGAGGACGAAGACGAGGAAGACGAGAAGGAGGACGAGGACGAGGACGAGGACGAAGCCGAGGACGAGGACGAGAACGAGGAGGAGGAGGAGGACGAGGACGAGCAGGAGGAGGAGGATGCGGAGGAGGAGGAGGAGGAGGAGGAGGAGGAGGAGGAGGAGGAGGGGGAAGAGGATCAGGAGGAAGACGAGGTCGCAAAACGAGGACGAGGATGATGACAAGGACGAGGATGAGGACAAGGGAGAGGACGAGTACTAATAAGAAGTCCACACATAGTCATGACCATACGAAGGACAACAACAATAATCAAACTGATTAGAAGAAGAGGATGAGGAGGACGAAGAGGAGGAGGAGGGCTGAGGTGGTCGGAGGAGGAGGAGGATGAGGAGGGGGCGGAGGATGGCAGAGGCGGGCGGAGGAGGAGGAGGAGGAGGAGGAGGAGGAGGACGATGACGATGATGATGCTGATGATGCTGATGCTGACGATGATGATGATGATGATGCTGCTGCTGTTGATGATGATGATGCTGATGATGATGGTGATGATGATGCTGATGATGATGATGCTGATGATGATGATGATGATGATGATGATGATGATGATGATGATGATGATGATGATGATGTCATGATGATGATTATGATGATGATGATGATGATGATGATGATGATGATGATGATGATGATGATAGATGATGATGATGATGATGATGATGATGATGATGATGATGATGATGATGATGATGATGATGATGATGATGATG